AGCTGCTAATATCTGACGTTAAATTCGATAAATTTGACGTTAATTTCGGTTCGATACAATAATTGACACTTTAGTAATCAGCCATCAAGAGTCGCTCCCCCTCCCCCCCTCGCTCACTCTCTGTCTCTCACGCCTTTTCTCTCTTTCTGCATGTGCAGCCAAGCGAATCTGCTGGAGACTTCCACTGAGTGCCTGACTGACTGACTGACTGTGAGTCGACTATGTGTTGCACTCAGAACTATAAAGCTGGAAGAGCTAATGCTCTCGAGCACTTGTCCCTCGTCCTGTGAAAGCTTCAATGGCGCCATTAGCAAATTATTTACAACATGTGCATCATGTTTTTGGTCTGGGATGGGTATTTGTACTGGGACTGGGACTGGGACTGGCCCAGGGACTGGGACTGGTCGTGGAACTGGGGCTCAGACTGTGACTGGGGCAAACGCTGTGCATCGTCACTGGCGCTGTCAGCGGGGCAATGACAAGGGCAGGCAGCGATGCACAGTGTCAAGAGTTAGGTGCTAAATAAAGTGAAATTATTTGAACAAGATTTAAAAAAGATGTTAAATGGGGATTGCCAAAATTATGAAAAAGTTGATAGGATTGAGGCGATAGAAATAGGAGATATGGGCAAGGAGGTTAACTTGATTGCGCTACAGTGGAATTTGAGAATGGACTTGATGATAATAAGTATCTAATGAGCTCAATGTCAATCAGATAAGTCAGATCTAGCTATCTGTCCTCGAAAAGGTAATTTGAAGTAAATTCAGTTGAGTTATAGCTGTTCCATAGATTCTAGAGCTAAAAAACAAAAAAAAAAAAGAGAGATTCTCCCGCAATTTAGAAGAGGAGTGGAACTTTATTAGATCCCAACTAACTCGGATAAAAATCAGATGACTTGATCTACTGAAACTCGAAACTAATAAAAAATAAATAAATAAGGAAGAGAAATGGAAATCGAACTATAAAAAATAAATATATATTTTTTTAATTAGCAGTCTATAAAATAATATATAGATTATATCGAATAATTGAAAAGCTGGACTTAATCACACATCACATTTATTCACCGCATAATAAATCCAGCAAAAAACTTCTGCATTATACAACAAATGTTAAACTAGATTAAGTTGTCACTAAAGCTAGCAGAAAACTTGTTTAATAAAGCAGAACATGTTGTTGAAAAATACAACAACAAAAAAAACACACACACACACAAACTCAACAGCATTGCGCACCATGTTTGCTGCACCTCATACCACTGTGCAATTGTTAGTGGGAGGGAAATGGGCGTCAAGCATGGGAACGCAGGCAGGAACAAGCGCTTGAGCATTCATTGGCAGCAGCTGTTCGATGAGGGGCGGCTGCAGTGTGGGGTGCGGGCGGGCGGCGTGGACAGTGTGAGGGGGGGGAGGGCTGTGCTATGCTTGTATGTGTTTTTACTGCTCTGGTTGCTGGTTGCTTGTTGCTTTTATACGTTTGATTTCCAGTGCTAAATGCCAAACAAACTGTCACGGGGAGACAAGCTGAGTGCCTACTCATACCCATGCAGCCATTTAACGGCGCACAACAAGAGAGAAAGAGAGAGAGAGAGAGAGAGAGAGAGAGGGATAGTGTATGTGTATGTGCGACACATACAACAAGTGAAATAATAATTTCAACATCGAATTGAATTTTGAGTGCCAGAACTGACTGCATGCCAATGCGTGCAGAATAAACTGACGGGCGGCACCGGTTGACAAGGACATTGGACCTTGCGACATGGTACAGTCGAGAGGACCCTTGCCAGGCCCCAGCAGGACCCTCTCCATATCCCTGTGGCTCTGCACTGACATGAGCATGTGCCAAATGAATGCAGCTCAAATGGCAGCGCAATATGACATTGCGACAGGCACGAAGCCTGTCTGACTGTGAATCTGGCTCTGGTCTCATCTGGGCTCTGGGCTATGGGCTCTGGGTTCTGGGTTCTGGGTTTGATTCTGGGGCCACTGCATAACATTGGCTGCATTTCAGTTTTATAAACGTTTTGCCGCCGTCTTGCTGCGGCTGTTTGGTGAAGCATAACACAAATAGAAATTGACATAAAGGCGAGACATACAGCGAGCGAGAGAGTGGGAGAAAGAGAGAGGAAAAAAAGAGAGAGGGAGACAAATTCGCATTCCCGAAGATGGAAATACTGCCAATGCGCACAACAACTGCCAAAGTTATCAAATGTTGGCCACATTTCCGCACATTTTTCCTTGGTTGCACTCAGAATGCGCCCCTAGGGACATTGGGTACAAAATATTCAGCATTTGAATGAATCCCCAAAATTAATAGCATCGAGTTGTGAATGAGTTGCAGCCTGTCTATGAATCATTGAGTCAGTCAGTTAATCAATGTTTCATGGTTGATAAATCAATCAGGCAGAATGCCTATTCATTCTATTAGTCAATCAGTCAGTCAGTCATTTAATTAGTCAGTAAGCTAGTTAGTAAGCTAGTTAGTCAATCAGTCAATCTGTCAATCTGTCATTCTTTCAATCTGACAGTCAGTCAGTTAACCCATCAGTCAATTAATCAGTCTTCAACCAGTCAGTCAATCGGTCTGTCAATCAATCGCCCGTGTATCAGTCAACCTATCAGTCAGTCAATCTGACAGCCAATGAGCCAGTGAATCAGTAAGTCAATCAGTCCGTCAACCAGTCAGGCAATCAGTCAGTCAATCAATCGCCCGTGTATCTTTCAGTCTGTCAGTCAGTCAATCAGCCAGTGAATCAGTAAGTCAATCGGTCAGTCAATCAATCAGCCAATCAGTTAATCAATCTGTGAGTCAATCAATCAGTCAATCAGTCAATCCGTCAATCACAATCAGTTAACCAGTCAGTCAATCGGTCAATCAATCTGTCAATCAGTCAGTCACGAAGATTTCAATCAACTTCAGTCAGTCAATCATTCGTGTAGAAAGCCAGTCAGCCAATGAATCAGCCAGTCAGTGCTGTAAAGACCGCCAATCAATGAGTAAGAGCTCAGTCAGTTAGTAAAAAACTCAATCAAAATCACAGTCAATCAATAAATCAGTTAGTGACCCTGGCCTAGTCTTTCAATCAATCAATCCTTGCGTTAATTAGCCAGTCAATCAGTCAACCCAGTTGGTCAACGAGTCAATCAACCACACATTAAATGATTCAACCTCACTGGGTTAGTAAAGCACATCGATCGCACTTGTTAAGCTCATTTTGAATAAACACAGAGTATTAGCTGAGTTTGAAACATTTAGTTGGATCAAAGCTCGATTGAAATACAGCCCAGTGGAGCATTCGGCACTTGAATCAAACGGGGATTGCCAATAATATGGCCACTCTGGCCAATGAACAATAAAGAATACTCCTAAGCTCTTAAAGCTCATGAACCGACTGTGAATCGAAGCCAGCAATCCGAATGCAATGGCCCGCCATGGACGGCGATGGGGAGGGGGCTGGGGGCACAGGCACAGGAACAGGCCGAGTGCACTCAGAAACTTTTGCCATGTGCAACTGTTGGAAAGTAGTATGTGTATAGAACATTTGTACCAATGCTCCCATAAACTAAGCTCGCACAAAGCGCCAAGGCGCCCCGCCCCTCCCCAGGCCAACGACAAGCAGCAGCAGAGGAAGAAGTAAAAAAAAAAAAAAAAAAAAAAAAAAAAGTTTCCATCTGCTGCTGGCAAACAGTAATGGAGCACTCGGCCAAAAACTCACATGTCGCTGACGCACTTCACGTCCAATTTGTCAGAGTTCCAAGAAATGTTTCATATGAAGAGAACAACTGATTTCATTCACATAACTAAATCAAAAAAAACTCTAGCAGCTTGTGGCTCTCAATGGTCAACAAATTCAACTTTAACTAAATGATTCTAAAATTTATAGAAATCTCGAGCGATTAGTGGGAAATATTGAATTGATATAACTAAGTGCTGATCTAATGACTTGACCCAGGGCTGATGACTTGGCAGTGGCATAAAGACTTTTAATCCTCAGTCCTAGCTAGCAGTCGAGCTCTAAGTAACCAAGATTTCGTACGTCTATCTGCCACATGTCTGTTCGTCTCTTTATAGTATGAAAAAAGTCAAGTTTTACGAAAAAAAATCGTTAACTTTTAGTAATTTAAATTTATTTAAAGCTATACTTCGATTCTATTCAAATATATTTGAAAAGTCCTAAGAGCTAGAACCACTATATTTGGTACAAAAAATCTGTTATCCTCAATTATACTTCAATTCTATTCAAATATTTTTCAAAAGTCCTAAGAGCTAGAACCACTATATTTGGTATATAAAATCTTTTAAATATACCTCCTTCATTTCCTTCTCAAAAAAAATCGCATTCTTAAACGCCTTGAAACTGGGCAGATTATACAACATTCTCTATTCACAATTTAAGAGATTATTTCTTAATGCAAGATATCTTTCATCTCACTCTTGATCTCTTGATCAAATTCACACAATCCGATTCAATCGAATTCATATGCGAGTGAATTCCATTATGCAGACTTGATTGAATTCGATTGACTTAATGGATATAAAAATGATTTAAGACCTCCTGCGTGGTCAATGATAAATCTTTGTAACATCTCGAGCTGACAACTTGAGTGGAGGAAATCAATTGCTTCATATACTCTTGGTGGGAGCATATGAAAAGCGGTCTAATTCGTATGACTCAGTTCGGTCCGAGAGGGGTTTACCAATTCGAAAATAGCTATAAAAAGAAAAAAAAAAAAAAAAGAACCAGACCCTCATTGGCACTTGAGAGGGATGCGGACAGCACTTAAATGCAACATGGCAGAAACATAGTCGAGTTTTCGTCCTCCTCTCTGGTTCGTATTTATCTGCGAAAAACTTGCGCACGTTTGAGCTGCCAAAATGGCTTTCAAGAGTTTTTAATGCTCGACACAATAATTCATATAGAGTTCAAGGCTGGCACGCACCCCACATGATTTGTGAGCCCACAGCGGCAGAGGGGGAGGGAGAGAGGGGCTGGTACTCACAGTATGTGTCCGTTGTCAGACGATCAATGGTGTCCTGCTTCAATTTGGAGTTCTTCTTGCCCATTGTGCGGCTGTTGTGGTGCTGCTGTTGCTTGGTGTGTGCCCCTGAGAGATGAGTGCGCCCGCTCAGCCAGTTGGGTCAGCCAGTTGGGGGTCAGCCAGTTGGGCCGCCTGTTAATATTAACAGGTAATTGGACGGGGCGTGTCTTATCCCGATTTGCCAGTGGTTAGATCTGAAAGGACACAAATAACAGAGAGAGATTAAAGATAGAGACGCACGAACATATCAGCGGCTCTGCTGCTGCTGCTCTGCTGCTGCTGCTCTGCTGCTGCCACAAGGCGCATTGTCACGGCGCAATGCTATCCATCATGCGCCACCGCCGCCGCAGTCCCAGGCTGCACCTGCCATGGCCGGAGAAACAGCCAACGCCACAGCCCCCCGAGCGTCAGGCGCGCTGATGAATAGCAAAAGCTACTTTGATATTTAAGCATGTCAGAGCCAGTTGTGTGTGTGTGTGTCTATGTGTGTGTGTGTGTGTGTGTGTGTGTCGCCCAAGCCAAAAACAAGAAGCTGCTGACTACGTCAACAGCCAGGGACATCTCACAATACCAGCGAATGCCAAAAGGAGCTGGCATCACTCACTCACTCACTCACTCACTCAGTCAGTCACTTAGTCAACCTAGTCTACTCTGCCGCTCAGCTATTCATAATTCTCTAAGCAGGCAGCTTACAAAATTATGCAGTTCCTATGAAATCCCACGGAATTTTATGGTAAATTTATATTGTAATTCTTGTCATTTTATATGTAGTCCTCTGTTAATTAATTTGCTTATAGATTTCATTAGCGGGAGTCTGAGCAAAGAGCATCTAGTTGACGGCTAGCGAAAAGTTTCGCTACGCTTTGGCTCCTGTGTTTGCCTCCTTTACCTTTGCGGTTTTAGCAGGACAAGGACAAGGACAATGCCGAGACTGCTGCTGCTGGTATGGATAACGACGACAAGTTTTGCAATCAAGTTATGTAATTAAAATGTAAATAATTTCCCAAGCAAATTTCGTGCGCAAACTTTTTTAATTCCTTTTTATACAATTTGGATGAGCCTTCAATTGACTTTAAATTGGCTATTGAAACTCTCGCTTTCGCTCCAGCTCTTGCTGTCTCTTTCCCTCTTCCACTACTTTCTCTCTCTCTATCTCTCACTATCTCTATATCTCATTGATTTTTGTCTCTGTATTCCTCTCATTCCCTATCTATCACCCATATCTGTCTCGCTCTCTGTTTCCCTGTTTCTTTCTTTCTGTATGTTTCTATCTCTGTCTCTTTCTGTTTCTGTACTTGTTCTATACCACTCTGCCATTCCACATCTCCCTCTCTGGCGCCCCCATTTATTTCACTATTTCACTTTGCTTTGCATCTCTATCTTTCGTTCTCACTTTATCTCTGTTTGACATTATTCCTATCGATATAGAGTGTCTACCCCTCTCTCTCTCTCTCTGGCTTTCTCTGTCACTATCTATGTCTTTATATAACTTATTCCCTCTTCCTTTATGTCTCTCTATCTCTTTCTCTCTCTCTTCCTCTATGTCCCTATCTCGCTCTCTCTCTCTCTCTCTCTCTCTGTGCGATTGTCCCTTCGTACCCCCTCTGTATAGGTTACTGTACACGTATTTTCAGCTTCTCTCTCTCGCTCTCACTCTCTCCCCGTTCGCCCTCTCTCTCTCTCTCTCTCTCTCTCAGCCTCTCTCTCTCTCTCAGCCTCTCTCTCTCGCTATCTCTCGGTCTCCCCATCATCTATGTCTCTCGCTCTCTCTCTCTATCTCCTTCTCCGCCCATCTTCCATCCCCCTTTAACATTTCTACTACATATATTGTCATATTAATCTTCTAAGCCATTTTCCTTAATTAGAGTAAAATCTAAATAATTTCCGTGTCACATATTGAAGAGAGCAACAGCAATTAGCAATTCGACAGTGTAATTCGCATCAGATTTACTTCTAACCCATTTAATGTGTAAATTATTCAGCTCTTAATGTAGTAATTAAAATGTATACAAAATAATTTAAAGCCATGCGCCTGTGTTCAACGATCATTAGAAATGTACGCTTAATGACCGTACAACCCAGGGTTATACACACACATATGTATATATGTATACATGTTTACATGTGAGCACAAGTATATAAATATAGATGTGTAGAGAGTAGATGGAGATATGTATTTAGTCAGCCTAGAAACAGGCTCTTGCTCGGGTAGGTAAACAAAAAGGACAAATGAAGCAGAAGCGAGACGAGGCGAGGCGAGGCGAGCTGAGGCGTAGGCGTAGGCTGAGATGGACACGGACGGACGGACAGACGGAGGGAAAACGTTGTCTGTGATGCAATTGCAATGGCTAACGAGCTGGCCAAGCATCGCTCGAGTCACATTGCTGGCGGAAGTTGTTTGTGTCAAAGGCTCAGACTCTGGCTCTGACTCTGGCTCTGACTGGGGCTCTGTCTTGGTCGGGTCTGTGTCGGTGTAAGGAAATTGAAAAGGAAAGAAAATTGAACATACTTTAAGACCTTTGGGGCAGCAGCAATCCGAATTGCAGGTACAGGACGCTGAATTGGCCAACGGGTGGCCATGCCTAGCATCTGGCTCAGCTCGACTCAGGGCGACTCTCCCCTATCATTGAGACGGTCGACATTACGCGATTTCCTGTTAGCTTTAAATGTATTTGAACTTTTGGCGCTACGTGCGTCGAAAATTACACAGAATTGCCGCTGGCGTCGACATTTAATTGAATAATTGCCAAACGACTTGTAAACAAGTTAGAAGACTGGCCCAGAACTTTGCCCAACGAGCTCGTATGCCAATTTGTTTTGGCCAGAGCCAGCCAAGGCACTAACATTGGCTGCCAGCCCAGGCAGCGCTGACGTAGTTGCTCAACAAATTGCCCAACGTACACACACACACACACACACATATACACACAGACACAGACATTAGCCACTCAACCTGTCTGAGCAGCAGGCAGCGCTGCTTAACAAATAACTCGAATGCCAAGAGCCAGAGAGACAAAATCTTTGCAATCGCTTAACTATGCGGAATTCACACAATTCGCAGTCTCCCGAAATGTTGCAGGCCTTGTATAATTAAATCAAATGGTGCGTATGAGAAGATATACTACAACCGAGTTAAGTATATTTGGCTAATTAATGTGCACGACTCAGGCGGCCCATAAAGGACTTCATTAGGACATGGAAATGGAGGGGGAAGTCTATAAGCCATTGACTTGTAAATATATACATTTTATTAAGTGAAGTAGAGTGTGTGTGTGTGTGAGAGAAAGAGAGAGAGAGAGGGAGAGAGAGAGAGGGAGGGAGAGAACTGCTGAGAAATCAACTTTTAGGTAATTAAATCATCCTCAAATGCACAACCAACTGTAGAGAATGGGATCTATTGCAAATATTATGGAATGCTAATGACTTGATGGATTGCTAATATAAGAACTATCAATAAAGGAAATATTACCATATATCTATAATGCCAATTTAAGAGCTAATGTACGGAAGCAGCATATCCACAAACTCTTTGGCCTTGGGCTGGCCTCCCGAATATGTTTTCCCAGATTCTGTGCAACTAAATCTTAGCATGGAATTTCCCGATTTGACACACCTTCAGTTGGTATAACCGAAAAGTATATATTGATATCTTATAAAATGAGGGTGTCAATGGATATACGAGTATATCAAATTTGAAGTCAATAGTTTTCATTGCGATAAAGTGGTTTTCGTTCAGATGTAGAGACAGACGGACGGATAGGTAGACGGAAAGACAGATGGAGATGGAAAGATAGATGAATGAACGGATAGATGAGAGAATAGACTGACGGACAGACAGATAGCTGGATGGACGGCCGGATAGTTAGATTGATAGATGGATAGATAGATGGACGGACGGATAGATGAATGGACGGACGCATATATGGAGGGGCGTACGGATAGATGGATAGAAGGACAGATGGAGAAGACGGTTGACGATACGCGCAGAAGGACGGACGGATAAATGGATAGACGGATAGATGTAAAGACAGACCGTTGGATATATGAATGGACCGACGTATGGATGGATATACGGAGGAATGGATAAACGGACAAAGAGACGGATAAGCATACGGACGACAGAGAGACGTGCAGAAGTACGTAGGAGTAGGGACAGACGAAGGTTGGACAGAAAGACGGAAGCACGAAACCAAAGTACTCTCTCTCTCTCTCTCCATCTGGAAATAGTTGCTCAAACATGACCTAAGAACTTCAGCAATTGCAATGAGCAAATGGTGTTTAAATAGTCGTGCAAAGGAAATGTGAGATGCATTTAGATGGAATGCCAAACAAACAGACCCAACAGATTCGCTCGTTATTGCTCAATAGCTACACATAATATATATACATACAATGCCATTATATTCCGAGCATTCATCTGTAATGACTTTTGAATTCATTTTCCAAAACTCCCATTTTCATTAGCCTAAAGCTTAGAGCTTAGCTGTTCTTCCCATATTCCGCCATTAGTGCGACGTTCCACGGCTTCGTTCAATGGAATTCCGCAGCCGTAAACTATTCGCATGGCACATGTTGGGCCGCTCCATGGCTCCAGCTAATTGCCATATTCAGGCACCCCAGTGCCACGCCCCTGTCCCGTGCCTAATTTAGGTGTGTATTGTGTGTGCCTGGTTTTTGTAGTTTTCGGGTCTGCCAAGAGGTCGTGGGTGCCGTTGGGACTTGGCCAAATGCTATGCAAAGAGCCAAAGGCCGCATACGGCTGGCTTTTTGTGCAATTTTTGCTCTTTAGCTGTGATTGCAGTCTTCAGGTTCAATTTTCTATTTTCTATTTTTTTTTCTATTCTATTCTATTCTGCACTTTTTTTTAGGTTTTTTACAATTTCTTGTTCAGCGTTCGCTGAGAAATGTCTTGCAATGCAAATTGCAAATTCCTATCCTGACTATGTCTGTCTGTCATTCAAAGTGAATGCGATGTGTGTGCGATGTGTGTGCGACGTGTGTGTGTGTGCTTTAGTTGAGATTGATAGTCGTTGTTGTTATTGCTGCACATGCCGTATATCGCATATAAGTCTGTGGCTGCTAAACTCTGCATAACTAACTCACTCGCCCATTGAAATTATTAGTACCCAACATAAAGTCCAGCTAATAGTCTTGCGGATGCGACAGCAAAAACTTTTCACTGTTGTTCAAAGTTCAAACATTCCAAGTGAATACCCAGCCACACACACACACACACACACACTCATAGATAAGCCTCCCATGCCCCACCCCCCAACGAGCGCTCCAAAAATGTTTCAACACATGTGTTTGGCTATTAACTTGCGCTTTAAATTATGCAAAATGCCAAACAACAGCAACTCGGATGAAAAACAACGCCAGCAAACTGCTAGATACAAGTTTTTGCCACATAATATACACACACACACACTCACACTCACACATACAAGCAGAGTGAGAGATATATATGTACAAGTTTTTATAGTGGGTGCTATGGGGAGTGGCGGCGCGAATGAGAGCAGGCAGCGCGATGCTGTCGACAAACGTGAGCGAAAGCATTTACATAACCTCCTTCAGTCTGATTTGATTATATTCATTCAATTTCGTAAGCCAGCGACCATCGACCATCTTACAACAACAACAACAATAACAACAACAACAATGGCAAAGACAGCAACAAAGCGCAACAGCAGCAAAGCCAAAGCGTAAAGAGCAAAAGGACCAAAGCAAGCATCGCACCTTTTGCTTTGAGAGAAACACGCAAAGAATAAAAAAAAATAAAAATAAAGGCCTGAATATTTTAACAGACAACTGTATAGATGTGCGTCTGTGTGTGTGTGTGTGGGTGTGACTGTTACCCTTTATGGCTTGCCTGGGCAGTCCATTAGGCCGTCTCCTTACACAACTTAAGCAGCATTTGGCCAACTCACAACTATCTGTCTCTATCTGGCAGCCTGGCACCTATTCCTCACCACAACCCCCCCCTCCTTCCCCTCTCAGCTACTGTCCACGCCCACCGCCACACTGCCCATATTTGGGCCATGTTATTTTGTGTCGTCGTACCTCGCTCTTTATTGGACTAAGTAAGTCGTTAAGTTGTCAGACTCGTTTTTCAGTGCGGTCTCCCCCAGCGCCTGTCCCCTCGTCCGTCTGTCGCTGTATTAGTCTGCCAGAGTCTCTCTTCTGTTATGTTTGTCTCTGACTCTGTGTGTGCGTGTGTGTGTGTTTTATTAAGTTTTGTGTGTGTGGCTTTATCAATATAGCAGCCGCTTTGCTTTTGACTGACATCGCCTGATGTCTGTAATTTTATTTATTTTATTTTTTTATTTCTTGTTCATATATATATATTTTTTTTAGCACAAAACACATTTCACACAACAAAAAAATAGTTTGTAAAAAAAAAAATGCAAATGACTTGAATGAATTAAATAGTTGAGAGTCTGCAATTGCTTGAATAATATACCTCGTCGAGCCGGACGGCAACAGAGCACACACACACACACGAACACACGCACACACGCACGCAGCACACACACTGTTGTGATAGAAGTGGCCAACGGGTAGAACAACAGCAACAAAAAGAGATTGTTTTTCTTTTTTTTTTTACGTTTTTTTTTCTTTTTCTTCTTTGGATTTAAAAAACACGCTGCATGCTGGGCGCTCGCTCGCTCGCTATTGGACTCCGGCGTATCGGCAGCCCTCGTGTTCCGTACGTGGCACGGTCTCAAAATCAACTGAAAAGCTTCGGTGCGCAATCAACAGTAGGTCGAATGTCCTTGTTGATACCACGGACGACGACGAGGACGACAAACGACGAGCAACTTCAACACTAACACAGGCACAGATGCCAGCATACACACACACTCACACGCACACACACACACACATGCACTGGCACACTCTGAAGTTGAAGAGACGCGCATCGTTCGTTCGAGGCGGACATGCTCCTGGAGCGAGCTTTTTAAGCGATAGCCGACAAATAAAAGCCTAGCCTTGCTCGCGGCCAGCTGCCAGCAGCCAGCAGCCGTCGATGTGCTGTGTGGCTAAGGCCACATCGGCTGATATCGCCGGAATAGTTTAAATAAATAAATGCACCATTTATTTGACTGTCACGACTCGGCAGCCCCAGCGCATAAGTATGCTCTGGCAATTTAACCATCCGCCTAGTCACACTGCATACAAATGAGACCCAGCTGGCCCACAATACACCCGCACACACACACACACACACACACACACACACACACACACACACACACACACACACACACACACACACACACTCGCACACAGAGAGAGAGAGCAGAAAAAACCAATTTGTTGGCGAAATGTTACCAAAATATCTTCACAGTTTAGCTACGGTATCGTTTTAATAGTAGCTCGGATATTACCTAAATTATTACTATTGAAATTCAATTTAATTGAACTATACAGAATATTCATTCCATTTCAGTAGTTATTATTGTAAACAGATCTATCATTTAATGCTGGCTGAATGGTGGCTATCGTGTTTTTACACTACTCGAGCGGAATTCCTTTTTATATTTGTTTTAGTATTTTTATTATTTGTAAAGCTTCTAAATTATTGAATTTTTTGTATATTTATGAGAAATATATATTTTTTATATATAAGAAATTGTAAAAGTTTTATATTATTTTCAGTATTTTATTATATTTGTTATTATTTTTTCCTACGTGTTTATTTATAGCATATTTCATTTGTTAAATGTTTTTTTTTTTTTTTCTTGTTATAGTACTTTGAATAGGTTAACATAAATACTATTTTGTATTTTAATATATTTGTTTTTTTTTTTTTTTTTTTTTTTTTTTTTTTTTTTTTAATTTGATTTAAGTATATGTGTTTAATTATGTATATATTTGAATAATAATATTTTTTTATTTGAATATTTTTACTGTTTTTCAGGTCTATACTTTTATATTATTTTTTTCGTGGTTCTATTTATTAAAAATAAATGCTAGCTAAATTATTATTATTTTTTTCACCTAGCTGCAAATTTGTATACCCTATCTATCATATATAAACTTGTACACTGGAACAGTCTAAACACTGTACAGCCAGCTAGGATTGTACCAAAGACAAAGTCTGACAGAATAGAACAGAAAGTCTTTTCAGATGCATCAAAGTTTTCATTCTTTAACTATAAATACTACAAAATAATATTAGAATCGTTGTCAATATGGATTTCATTAAAGTTGAGATTGCTGCACTACTCGATAAATTTATACTTAATTAAGTTACATCAAATTTTTAACGTAGACTAATTTTATAGAAATTATACATTAGTAGAAATAATTTTTAGTTTAATTATACTATGATTGGATATGTATTATATTCATTAGTATAAAATAAAGCAGCTCTGGGCAAAGAGAATTCAGTTTTAAATCCCTGCTGTAAAATTTAAATATTTTTAAAAGAGTTTTTCATGCTTCAAAATTCATTATTATTATAATTCTATTTCTAAATCAGCTTAAGCCACATAAATAATGAAATGAAAATAAACCAGCCGACCTGCCAGTCCACATTATCATATAATTTTCAGCTCAACTTATTTCACTCGCATTTGATTAAGAGCTATATGAAGAGAAAGTGTGCGAGGCTGCTGTTGGGCAATCCCTTTTAATTATGCTATAAAATTTGTTATTTTCATTAACAAAATTTTATTAATTTCGCTCATCTTGCCCAAAAAAAAAAGACAAAAAAAAAAAACATTAAATTGGAAAAAATCCGAAACGAAACAAACAGCAGCCCATGCGGCGTATGCGTTATATTATAGCATTAATAAATCCACGGAAATCCATCCAAGTCCGTGGGTGTTTGTGTGTGTGTGCGAGCGGGCTTTCTTTTGTCTCAGCTGTAAGCGAGGCAGAGGCTTCAAAATACTGCACACAGACTTAGAGCCCAAGCAATTGACATTACGAGCGCTAACTCCCACGCGCTCAACCCGACCAATCCTCCGCCCGCTCACGCTCTCAAGCCGCCCTTATGACAGCTTTGCACACGCTCTCTCTCTCTCTCTCTCTCTCTCTCTCTCTCTCTCAGTCTCTTTGAACATACTCAACACAAGCTTTTGTTGAACTGAAAGCTTTAAGCTTTTGTCCGTTAGCGGCATCAAATCGTTATCAACTTTTGGCGCCTGCCCGCAGTCAAAAGGCGAGCAAAAGTTAAACCCAAATCTCGTCGCGCTAATCGCATTTTCCAATCGGCCATATCTACTCTCGGTCAGCTTGACCTTCTTCTAGCCCGACAAGTGCCGTTAACTATCACGGAAAGGCAGCTAGACAAATAGTTCAGAGTGGCGCTCTGAGAGCTTTTTCTATAGAGATTTCTTTGCGCTGGTAAAAAGAGCAGCTTCTAGGGAAATTTAATTATATATCTGTATGTTGAGTATATAAATTAATCAAAATTTTGTTATATATGTATGTAAATAAAATGGTTTTGGGTGCAACAGAAATCGAAAACTTAGCCAAATATCTATAAGAAGAAAGCTCAACAATTTCCATCAACTGTGGAAATTGTTTTAGGTATTAATATTTCCTTATTAAAGTTGAAGAAAAATATTTTATTCATTTTTAAAAAATATTTGTATATTTTATTTTATTAAAGTTGAAATTGAATAAAAATAATTTATTAGTATATTTTTTATGTGTTAATATTTTCTTATTAAAGTTAATGTAAAAAAAAAAAAAAATTTTATTTATATTATTGAAGTTGAAATTGTATAAAAATAGTTTATAAGCAGAGTTTTAAATATTTGCTTATGAAAGTTAAATAAAAACATTTTATTAATTTTTAACAAATATTTTTTTTCTATTTTATTGAAGTTGAATAAAAATATTGAATTAGTTTTTAGAATTATTTTTCTTTGGTGAAAATTCATCGACTTTTTTCTGCTACCCATTAGGTAATTTAATGTACGCTGGAATTTATTAAATTTATGTTCTATAAGGCTCAAGAAAGATAAATGTAGATATGATACACAGCTTAGGAAAAGTGAGAGCATGAGTAGAAGAAGCAGCTACCTGAGGTAAACACCAAGGGAATCTTTGATAGATCTAAAGTCAAGAGTCGGTGCTGCAGGTCTTTAAAATGCTGACGTCAAAGTCTTCCCCCAGTTTGCATGAGCTGTAGTAACTAGATCCCACCAGAGCTGCTCAGTTGAGAGTCTATATGAAAGATACAGGCTCTTTAGTATTACGAAAACCCAAAATAAAACTGATATAAATACCTCATAGGTATGAAAAGGTATTGTAATGGGAGCCACGCTAACAGCTTAATTAAATCCGCAATCAATCAAATCTTTACAAATACAAATTGTAATTTTAGCCCACTTGAAAGATTCATTAATTCTGAAAAGAAAAGATGCAAATCCTTTTCTTGTTCCCGTTTTATTTTTATCCATACTGTAAACAAACACCTTCGCCAACACGATTCGTGTTTGGTATAAAAAAGGCCTTTGCTAAAAATAAAAGCGCCCTCCACACACAACAACAACAACAACAACAACACACACACACACACAAATACACATTTAATTACACTCATTATTGCATGGCCTAGGTGCATGGAGCAAGACACTTGGTGGCTGTCTGCATTGGTCTCTGGTCTAGTCTCTGGTGCTAGGTCCCTGGTTCCTGGTCTCTGCTCTCTGCTCTCTGGTCTCTGGTTTCTGCTTTCCATGGAAGTCTGCGGCCTGCAACGTCTCTGGCTCTGGCTCTGGCTCTGGCTCAGGCTCAGGCGCTGCTGATGGTCGGCAGGGCCATGTTTGCCTGGGCGCCATATCGTTTAGCTGCCTCAAAGCCATTGTTAATTAGTGCACCGACCTTGTCGTAATTAGTGCGCACATTGCACACTGCACAGCCCAGCCCCGGCCCGTCTTGCCCCGCCCCTTCCTGGCCACAGCGGCCAAGCTGGCAAAATTTCCGTTGAGCTTATAGCAAATGCCGCCGGCGGCGACTACATTCGGCCAGCAACATTTTTAGGCACTGTCTATGTGTGTGTGTGTGTGTGTGTGCGCGCATGTGTGTTGGTAATGTATCTCAGCTGAGCCGTGCTGAGCTCATAAGCTAGCAAATTCACATAATAAGTTTTACATTAGGCGTAGACAAGCCGCTTAGTCAAATGCAATGCAATTATTCGACTGGCTAATGGAAGCGCGTCCGAAATGCGACGCAGCCAATTGCAACGGCTCTGCCAGCCGGGCTAGAAGCCACCCACTCAATGCTAAAAACATTCCCAATACTGGATAGAGAATGACGGATAAAGTTCTCCTTGAGCCGTGTGCCTTTAGGCCTTGGCTTGCAGTAGTTGATCAAGCATCAATTTATTGAGGAGATCTTAAGTACATCTTAGCGAGATTATAACTTGACTGCCTTGATTTAGATCTTGGACTTGACTGTGATAAATCGTATGACTATACTCATGCGATTTATCTGCTTGTGTAATATGACAGTGTTGTTGCCTATATCATCCACTTTGATCATATCTAACGTATGCGCAAATATTCAAAAGTAATTAATAAATGTGTAATTAATCATACAATGAATATAAGTAATAGAGTACTAAAAGAATATGTAATATTACTAATAGCGCAGTAATACGTTCTCTATCTTTAAGGTCTCATCTATTCTGATCAACCATAATCTAGATCATTAAAAATTATTATTATTTTTATTATTATTATTATTATTTTTTTTTTTTTTTTTTTTTTTTTTCA